CTGTATAGTGCGTGGTTTTATAGTGGTTTGAAAAAATCACGAAAGTTTCAAGACAGCCTAATATTTTAGCCGTACAGTTGTCACCACAGTTACCTTTACGTTCTAATCCTTTTTTAAGGTTAGTTTCTGGCAGCATGAAACTGATTCATCACTGAATTTTGACTCTCTTCTAAGAATCCTCTTTGCTGATTAGTCGATATCTTTTGATTACCTTTTGAAAATTCTCTTTGGCCAAAATTTTCCACCAAGCTCCACTGAAAGTCATCAAGCAGTCGACTCTCGAAACGAAGATGTAGTCTACAATAACTCAGCTAAACACTCAAAAATATCTAGTTCCCGGAAAATCAGCAGCGAAAACAAGCATTGTTTCCCCTGCCCTACGTGTCGCCTACAGACCACTTTTTGTAAAAAAAAAAACACTGCTCTGCTTACCGCGTACAGTGCGATGTACGTAAGAGCTGCCATAGGGTCCTACAGAACGATATTCAAGAGAAAAAAACCTCTTACAGGCCTCTTACAGAGTGGTAATCTGAGAAAATACTGCCTTGAAACCCCTACAAATGATATTATACACCGGGATGAATCTGCCATACCCTCCCCTCTACACAACAATATTGGAAGAAAGCCGTATGGGTTGCTTACAGACGCAGAAAAACTGCCCTACGGGCCGCCGCGGGCGGGTATTTAGCCATCAGAAGGAAGCCCTATGGGCCGCTTACGAACCAGTTTTCAAGAAAGAACTGCCCGTGAAAAAGGACTCTCTGAGCCGCTTGCGGACCTTTACTTCGAGAAAAGGTTGTCATATGGGGGCCGCACACAGACCGATATTTCAAGAAGGAATTGCCTTTCAAGTCTTTTAACCAATTTTCAAAAAATGCCCCAATAGCCGCTTGGAGACTACTGTTTCAGGAAGCAACCTCCCTATGTGTATCACAAGCTAATATGAGAATAAGAAAAGCTATGAAGTACTTGAAACATTTCCTTACGTCCCTACAAACCAATATATTAAAAACTAACTGCCCTACTCGCAGACCGGTAAATATAGGAAGAAAATGCCGTGCTGAACAGTTGCATACAAGTCACCTACACACCGATGTTTACAAAAAAGCGAAATTGTTCTCGCTCAGAGGCCTCCCCCCCCCCCCCCAACAAACCTATACTTGTGAAATAATCGTGCTGAGGTCGCCCTACAGATGATATTCTGAGAAAAGGCTAACTTACAACCCCTCTTCCCCTTCCTCTCCCTCCCCCCCCCCCCTAACAGACCGATATGGGTGTCAGCCCGATATTCTAAATTACCCTACAACCTTTTCAAACTGTGTTGCCCTACGAGGCGCTCAAATCAGGGCTCGGCACAGGTGTCTTACAAGTAAGCTGGATATTGTTTTTGGGACAAAAAGCAAAGGGGTTCCGTTTTTATTGCCGAAAAGACACAAAATTTGCGACGTTTTTTATAGTTGGCGTTTCGTTTTTTGGAAAATTTCCAGAGATTCTGATCTAGGATCTAAGGGGACTTCGTAAAAATCGCAAAAGTCAAGGGGAACTTCGTTTTTTGCATTTTCATCCAGCCACCTCGTGCCGATCCTAACTCACATATATCTGCTCTATGGACAGCCATGTGAAGAATCGCCCCATGGACTTCTTGCAAATCATTATTTTGGAAAAGAAGTGCCCTATGGGCCACTTACAGACCAATATATCAAGAAAGAACACAGCTACAAACCCCCAAATCAATATCTCGAAGAAAAAATTGCCCTGAGAGCCGGTCAAAAACCGATATTTGAGAAAGAACTCTTATGGAACTCTTATGATAATTGAATGACTGTCCTACGAGCCCTCCTCGTCCCCTACAAACTCACATTTGAGAAAGAACGCATTACGGCCACCTATAGGACTAAATTATAAAAATGAGGTATCTCCCTTATAGATCGATACTTTGAGAAAGAGTAACCCTACAAATTCCCTCGAACTGTCCAAAAAACTCTCTATGGGAAGCTTACAAATCAATATTTTCGGTAGAACTGCCTTATAAGACCCTACAAATTAGAAAGTGCCTTATGAACAGCTTAGACATTGAAGGATCTACCCAATGGACAGCGAGCAGACCAATGTTGTGAGAAATGATTGCCCTACGAGCCTTAAAGACCTGAGAATCACCTTACAGGACGCTTACCAACTTTTGTTTCGAGAAGAACAAAGAACTGTCCTCATCAGTCCTCACCAATTATGAGCAGCAAAGACTTTGGCAGGAAGATGAGAATGTGAACAATTGAATTATAACGTTGAGAAACCACTACAGCATGTTTACGCAAGACGAGTCCCCAAATCAGTCATACACGCAGAGTTCAAACTTGCGAATGAGGGGGAGGGGGACTGTTAGCAGCCTTAGAAGTGTCGGCACCTCCGCAACTGTGGCGTTTTCGCACATAGTAGTCGCATCCTTTCAAAAACATTCCTCGTAGAGGGACGATGCTCATCCCTAAGAAAACACGCTAGCCTGTTAACAAACCTGTACTCTCCGCACCCAACGCAATCACTCGCCTCAGCCCGCAATTTGTCAACATGTAAGTGCAAACCCCTTGCCATTCTTTATTATACAACTAGTGAACCAGTAATCTTAAGGCGCTATTTGCAAGAGCGTTCTTCAGGATGCGCCGCAGTTTTACGCTATTTGATGATTTTTGAATTGACGTTATGATTCTTTGTATACTAGAATAGCTGCCTTACCCGGCTCCGCCCGGCCCTGTCAATGCTATGATTGAATCCTTATCCCTGTAAAACCTTTCATTGCGCCCACTTCTACATGCAATTCCCTATTCCCGTTGTGTTAGTAATTAGCATGCCCACCTACCTCCCTCAACGACCCCCAACCCCGTAGCTCAAACTTTGCAAAAAATCGATAAAATCGATAGAAGTAATCGATAATCCTGAAAACTAATATTGTATTCGGAATCCCCATGCTCGATTATTCCCCCCTCCCCCCCCCCTCCCCTGTGCAAACTCCCAGCTCCATAGCTCAAACTTTGCAAAAAATCGATAAAAAATAAAAGTAATCGATAATCCTGAAATCTAATACAGTGATGGACATAATTACAAAGCCACTCTAGAAATCGTCGTAATTTTCGTTCTTGTCAATGAATCTCTCTGAAACTTTGTTGTATTGTCCGCATTTCAATTCAACATAATCCTTCAAAACGGCTTCCAATTTGTTGAGTTTGAATGGAGAAAAACGAAAAAATTCGAAAAGCCCTCTTTAAATGCGGGACAAAATTATAATGCCACCTAGTTTTTCTAATCACTATCGCATTCGTTGACCCTCAGATTTTTTTGTACAATTACATCCCAAAATATGAAACATTTGCAACACCTACGGCCTGTCATCCTACTCAAATAGAAGCGATCACTGCATTTTTTGCTTTCAAAAGCACCAAAAGTCAATCTGCTTCAACTTTTCATCTGGTTTGAAGAGTTTTCAAGCTTTTGTTCATTTCAAATGATAATCATGGAATCTACTGACCTTTCTAGATAGATGAGGTGAAGAGCGCTTTCGTAAACTCTGCGTACTCGCTCATTTTGACGGACAGACTTTAACCTCAACATAGACTTCTCAGACAAATTAAGGGAACTTCCCGAGAACAAGCTAATTTGCGGAACTTCCCGAGAGCTTGATTTAGTACTGGAGTAAATGAAGGTGAAAGAATGGAAACTTCCCGAGAAAAATGACGTCGACAGGAATACAGTTAGGAACTTTCCGAGGAGAAATCCTCGGAAAATTCTGCAAAGTGCAGAACCTCCCGAGGATTTCAATTCGAGGGAACTTCCGCAGAGCTTTTGCAGGTTAACAAAACACTTCTGTTTTGCTTGTTTTGCAAGTAAGACTACCTGCATCATAATGATAAGCTCAAAGTTTGATAAGGTAAAGCTTAAGGTGCTTTATTTCTGCCTATCACCGTCTGAAGGATAGGTAACACTGTTATGATATTTACCTGTCTATTTCGAGCTAGCGTAATCAAACCTGTTTGTTCCATTTAGTATTTTTCAGGTGTCAGTATCTGTGTCAACAAACCTCAAAAAGCTGTTGGAAATCTGCAAAAGGACTGAGGAGGGACTCCACTCAAGGACAACGCTCTCTTTGAAGTATTTTTAATGTTTGCTTTATTAATCTTGCGCTGTTGCTTTGCTTATTTTGTAATCAAAGATTTTGTCAAAAGAAGGAGGGGGAGTTTTTTGTCCCTTCCTTCCCCTCATCTTGAACAAATTTTCACATTGCCACTGCTTTTCATCTCTCCTTCTCTTCTCTGTTTCTGATATTTTCAGTTTTCTCTTTCTCGCTCATACATGTCCTCTCACAATACCCAAATCACAAATTTTTTATTTTTTAATCTTTTCATTTTGTCAAAAGAAGGAGGGAGAGGGGGAATTTTGCTTTTCAAAATTTTTTTAATGGTTCGCAAAAAACCTGCAAATCATAAAATGATTTTTTCAAACAAAAATGATTTTCAAAAATGATCAAATGATAAAGAAATTTTTCAATGATAAATGATAGAATGATGAATTTTTCATAAATATGAGGATTTTATATATACTACCCTTGGGTAGTCAGGAGAATGGAGTCGAATTGAAGAGATAGAATAGTCTAGAGAAAGTGTTACACAGAGAGGCTGCCATGACGAAGGCACGCTATCTTTGGGCGCGAACGCGGTTTTATTAGCCTCAGAGCGCATGAGCCGCAGGTTTTGCAAGGGTGAAGATGCGCGCGCGTCGCTTTTGCGCCCGCTCAACTAGTACTGCTTCTTCTCCTTCATCGTGCAGCGCCTTAATTATTTTGTCTGAAAATTTTGCGATGTTGCGTCGATTTAGTAGTCCTTGATTTTCTTTGTTAAAAGCTCTATAGATCTTCAAATGTGTCTCAGAGTTTTCCTTGTTGAAATTTCCAAAATTCCAAGTCTTTCATCAAATCATACAAACTTCCTTTGTATTTAGCACACAGGGCTTTCGAAATGGAACCTATGCGGCGTAACCGTCATCGACGACGCAGCGACTGGACTGCAACTGAAGAGGGTAGCAGCAGTTCGGTGAATAGTCAGCTGTTTTTTGAGATAGCATAAATAGGTTTAGTAATTCATAAAATGGCATAACAGCAACAAAATTTGTTACAATTACTTACTACTTAGTTACTTAGTTGGCCCGTCCTCACGTGTCGTGCGGGCCGCAGCACAGCTTCCATCCGTTCCTATCCCTCGCAAGCGTCAACCACGATTTTCGTATCGGTCGTTGATGGCGAAGATCACGAGATCTAGGTGTAAAATTCGCTTCCAGCTGGTTTTTCAGCTGGTCCATCCTTTCCACGAACACATCTGCCCACCTGGTGGGGGGTCTTCCTCGAGGGCGTTTTACATCGCGAGGGATCCATTCCAGCGTTCTTAACGTCCATCTGTCGTCTGTTCTTCTTGCAATGTGACCGGCCCATCGGTACTTTACCTTCGAAACATACTCGACTGGGTCTCGTAGACGGGACATACTTCTTAAATCAGAACTGCGAAGTCCGGCAAGATGTTGCGTACGTCGGTTAAACTTCAGAAGACTCCGCTCCATCGCTCTGTGGGTGGTACGAAGAGCTTTCGACGTGGCAGCAGTGTCAGCCCACGTCTCGGCTGCGTAGCAGAGCGCTGGGAGAACGGTTGAATCGAACAGATGAGCTCGAAGCGCAGGGTCCGTTAGTTGGTCGGTGGCTTCTTTCAAAGGCCCGTAAGCGACCCAAGCTGCTCTTCGCCTTCTGTTAAGTTCTTCTTTCAAATCGTTCTGCATGTTCATTGAACGTCCTAGATACACGTAAGAAGAGGTCTCCTTGATTGGGGAATCTTCCAGCTTCAATTCCGTATCCTCAATTAGGCCGTTCTTCATGAACTGGGTTTTCTTCCGATTGATTCGCAGTCCAATCGTCTTCCCTACTTCGTTCAATTCCTTTAACATCGTCTCGGCTTCATTGATACTGCTCGAGAAGAGAACGATGTCGTCCGCGAAACGAAGATTCGAGAGGAATCTCCCATCAACTCGTATACCTCTCTCATTCCAGTCCAGTGATTTCATCACCCACTGCAAGGCCGCCGTGAACAGCTTAGGCGATATGGTATCGCCTTGTCGGACTCCCTTCCCTATTGGTACGGTCAGGGGGCGATGGAACAGCTGTAGCGTTGTAGTGCAGTCCTTGTAGCAGTTGGCTAATGTCCTCACATATGACGGATCCACTCCTTGATCGACTAGCGCTGACAGGATAGCGTTGAACTCGACGCTGTCAAATGCCTTCTCGTAGTCGACGAAGGTTAGGACGAGAGGTAATCGGTACTCCCGGCAAACTTCTATGACCCTCGAAACCGTCTGGATGTGATCCATGCAACTGAATCCCTTGCGAAATCCAGCTTGTTCTGGAGGTTGGGCTTCATCCAGTGTCCTTGAGATGCGAGTGAGAATGATTTTGGTGAAAAGCTTATACAGCACGCTCAACAGGCATATCGGACGATAGTTTCGAAGATCTTCCCGTTCGCCCTTCTTGAAGAGAAGAACGGTTCTTGACGTTCTCCACTGGTCGGGAATCCTTTCCTTCTGGAGATAAGATGTTAGGTGCGCCGCCAGAATCTCGTGTAGACAGTGTCCTCCAGCTCTCAGCAGGTCCACGGAAAGATGGTCTGGTCCTGGAGCTGTGGACGTCTTCATGGTCTGGATCGCGACGCGTACTTCAGCAGGAAGAATTCGTGGTGGTGTGTCTCCAGCGGGAACAGCGGGGTCTGGCACGGGTGTTGATGAGCGGAAGAGGTTGGTGTAGAAACTCTTCGCGATCGATTCCATTTCTCGGCGGGAAGTTGTTGGTATCCCATTTTCGTTTAATAACGCTCCCAGTGGTATGTGGTAGTCGCAAAGGTCCCTTCGGCATTTCTTCAGACTTCGTCTTTGTTCAGCGGCTTCCAAAATCCTCCTTTGCCTGTACTTTCGTAGATCCTCCTGCAATGCCGTTCTGCAGCTGGTATTTGCCACTAACCGCTCGAGGTGAGATGCATTCGGATCCAGCCTCAAGGATCTTCTTCTATCGAGCAATTCCTTGGTGGTGCTTGAGATGCGATCCAAGTTCCTTGCACGAGTTGTTGAGGCGCAATACTCACAGGCTTCCAATCCTTTGAGAAGCAGCTCGTAGTCCTTTGTTGGGTCTTCCTCGATGGGCCACTCACAACATGATAAGAGCTCCTCTAACCTTTGACCGTCGTAAACGACTTCCTTCCTTCGTGGACTGCGATGGCAAATCTTCCTTTCCAGCTTTTGACTGAATCGTACCTTCGCTCGTAGGAGGCGGTGATCAGAACCACTGCAGAAAGATGGCACTACCGATACGTCAAGTAGGCACCATCTTCGGTTGGTGAGTATGTGGTCAATCTCCGCATGTGTCGTTCCATTGGGTGACTCCCATGTCCATCGTCGTTGTTCTTTCTTCATGAAAAGTGAGTTTCCATGAAACAGGCGTGCGGCGGATAGGATCCCAATAAGACGGTTGCCGTTATCATTCCGGAGCCCAAATCCAAATTTCCCGATCCTATACTCCTCTTCTAGTTTCATCCCGATCTTCGCGTTAAAGTCACCCACAACAAACTTGTAAAAGGACTTCTCGTTGCGGACGACCTCCTCTACATGCTCGTAAAAAGCATCCAATTCCGAATCATCAGCTGCTGATGTTGGAGAATAGCAGTTGATGATGCTGATGGTCTTCTGGTGTGGAGGGTGTAGGCGAAGGATGGCCAGTCGGGAAGACAGGATCTCATGCGAATCGACGAGATGGACGATCGTTGGGTGGACGACAAAGCCGACGCCTCCCACGTTCCGCGACGGAACTTTCTCACCACGAATGACGAGGGTCCCATCGCTCAACTGTCGCACGTCTTGCTTCCTGGACTTCGTTTCCTGCAGGGCGATGACGTGATACTTGATGTGCCCTGCGGCGTGGAGAAGAGCGTGAAGGTCGGCGTCTGTGGAGACTGTTCTGGCGTTGTAAGTGCAGAGCATGAAGCAGTCTACATGGCGGGTCGTCGCAGGTGTGCCGTTTTTGTCCAATCCAAATGGCGCCCTGAGCAACCTGCCACCAGCCTTGTTTCCTTCCGGCGCCTTAGTCGGGGTCTGATGACAGGGCTTTATTCCTTTACTTGCTGCTCGAGTTTTAAATTTTTTCCCCGGCACTGAGTCGGCTTACCAGGCCTGCTCAGGCCTACCATATTCAGGCGATCGCTGACCATCACTATGTGGAGTGGGGACCCGCCTAACGACCTATTAGTCAGACGGCGGAAGCTGACCCGGTTCGCTCTTTGCTGGGCGTCCGGGAGCCAGAGGTTAAACTCTAGCTGCAGGTAGCTGACACCCAGGGCCACCCCCACGCCACTTTGAGGCGGCGAACCATCGTGGGGGTGCTGTTGAGGCGGCGAACCATCGTGGGGTGTTACAATTTGAGAAAACAAAAAAAGGAAAACACTGAGATAATCGGCTAACAATGAAAGCAGGAAAACAGGTTGCAGCGGGTTTCAGAACAGTGTGGTTGTTTTTCCTTAGAATACGTGCGTGCAGCTACGCGGGTTCGTACTAAAAACTGATTTTTCGAATTTAGCACCCTAGACGCCCTCGGTTGAGCCCTGAGCCGAGTACGAGTTCCGAACCGGCGGCTTCACTCCCTTCATTTGCCGAAGGTGCCGCCGACGAAGAGACAGAACCCAGCCAAGTTGTTGACGAAGAGATGGCAGAACCTAATCACGCCGCTGGTAGTGAAACGGTAGAACTGGGACAAGGTGCCGTTGGGAACGTGGTAGAGCTAGGTAGCATTTTCTTGGAGTAATTCTGCAGAGAAGAAATGTATCTCGGCTTTAAGATCATCAAGACAAGCTCCTTTTTTTTGCCTGTCACACTGTGCTGCACGGTACCAGCACCGCGGAGCTGAGACGAATGATGATGTTGATAGAAGTGGCCACAGGAAGGGCAGCAAATATTGTGAGATTCCAGTCAACCAGTAGGTTTTAAGAGGGAACTCTATATTTAAGTGTGTGGCGGATGTGACGAGATTCATGGATAATCTGAAAAGTGACATACGCTTAAGAAATCACGCATTTTGCAGTTCATGCTTTCGAACACTGGTGAATAAACGCGCCTTGTGCGCCAATCTCAGCTGCGACCTATATGGGTGAGCACTCCTGAATCACTATGCGGACGATCACACTTTTTTTCAGAATTCATCCCAAGCGTTCGAAGTCGTTGAGAAGGCCATCATTGTCTTTGCTGGACATTCGGCCACAGATGGAGAGCGTACTTGCTACACATTTGTCCCTACTGATCAATGTACATCGGCGACTCCATGAAAGTTATGTGCGTAAATTTCTTCTTAATTCTTGAAAAGGCTCATCAATTTAGTTTGATTCTGGGACGCGCTCCGAAGCCACTGATTTCCCCATGTTCAAGAACAATGTTGAGTCGCCAGACGAGTTCTCCAGACATATAATGAGCCTGCAGTTGACCATAGCCACCGATGGATTTGTACCAGCACGGCTAAGCAGGTCTTTCATCTGGAGACTGGCAGGAATTCCTTTCAAGATTTCTAAATTTACTACTTGTTTAGGCAGGAGCTTTGGCCATTATATGTGCGCGTTGATGATCTTCCATCGAAAATAGGAAATAATTATCTCAATATAATCATGGCTGGTGTGCTGTGGACGTCAAAAACACCCCACGAAGAGCTGTGGGAGGGTTTATGGACTCACCTGGCTACAGAGCTGGCTCTGGTGAACTCTGAGCCCCTGCAGATCCTTGACAATGTAACGGGCAATCTGTGGAGTATCAGACTAAGACTGACGCATGCAGTCGTTTCAAGCGGGCATAGTACACTAATTTCTTACGGAAAATTGCTCTTGGTCAGCTATCATACGCTCACACGTAGCTCGTTCGCTCTTATTGAGCATTACTCAACGGTCGACCCTTTTGCAAATTTGATGGAAGTTTTGGGAACCTTGGAAGACTCAGACAGAGCTCGGAGACTTCTTCGCATTGTCTCTTTAAATAATTCCCATTTTCATGAAGTTAGTTTCCTTGGCATCAAATGGATCAACTGCACTGATATCTTAAGACCCGCAGTCTTCATTAATATGCGGAATAGAATGTTTGCTCTCAAATTGTAAGACCCCTGGCCTGCTATTTCCATTATCTCTTACTTCTGTGTTCTCATGAAATGTCGGAATAAAGTAAATTTGTTGATGTTATTATTTACTGTCTCTAGCGGATTTCAAAGCCACCTTTGCTTCTTATTCCATAACGTCGATATCAAAAAGTTTATAGAGTTCTAACATAAAAGCAGTAATAATAGCTATAGTCGTCCTCACCCCACTAGTCGGTCGGTGGTCGAATTTGAATTTGAACTGGAGCAGGCCACCCGCGGCAGAGCGTGGCAGACCGCCCCTCAGCCAACCGCTTGCATGAGCTTTTTTCTTATATTCTTCGTGTTTCTTTGCTATCTCTCGTATTACGGCATTGTTCTTAATCAGATTTTCAGATTTCATACCGCTAACTCTTTGAAACCAACACTTTTTGAGAGGTTTTCAGCCCTGTCGCAAAAAAATGGTCTAAAATTCTAACGAAAGCTTGACACAATCATCACAAACTTATCAAATCACATTTGTATCTATTTCACTTACCGGAAAAGATATTTCCGGTAAGGAGATCAAAGACCATCTCACATGTGTCCAGCGATGCCTTTCCCACGTGCGTTCTTTAGACAGCAAAGCGCGAATCCTATGGTCGATATCAGTTTCCGTCTGTTTGCAGACGACGTTTTCAGGACAATAGCACGGTTTCGCCAAGGGAAAATGCACTCAAACCTTACCTTCGCACAAAAACAGGGCATTAGGGAGGTGCGGGAGCTTGTAAACTCAGCGCAAATAAGACTCTCTACTAGCGATAAGGGAGGCGAGTTCGTAGTCATACCCCACCAGCTAGATGTTGCGATAACACAAAGGCACTTGCAGGATCAATCGCTTTATCGTCCTTCCACTGCCAACGAATTTCAGAAACAATACCGCAAACTGAACAGGGAGTGGGTAACGATCGCTAAAGCAGCTCGGTTATCGCACGACACAATTGCGCGCCTCAAAATCGACACACCTGTGTGCCCAGTGCTGTATCTACTCATCAAAACACACAAGCTCCAATCAGACGCCGAGTTGGCCTCCACCGACCCCTCTACTTTCAAGGTGCGACCGATAATTAGCAGTGTAGGAGGGCCCACAGATAGGATCGGGTGGTTTATCAACAGCATACTGACGCAACTGCTCAAATTTATCCCTTCGCACCTGGCCAACACTAAAATGTTTTTAGACCGCCTACGCGCGACGCACATTGATCGTAACTGCGTCATGGAGTCATTTGATGTCAACGCGCTCTATACTAACGTGAGCAACGAGTCCGCGATGCAAGCTGTCTCTGAGCTTCTCATAGGCAACGAAAGCAGTATAAACCTCTACGGGCTCTCTATTTCAAAAATTATGGCTCTTTTGCAAGCGTGCCTAGACTGCAACATCTTTAGGTGGTCTGGGAGTTACTTCGCGCAGATCAGAGGTTTGGCCATGGGACAAAGGTTAGCCCCCACACTCGCTGTAGCCTTCATGGCAAAAATCGAAGCGCCTATTTTGGAGTGCCGTCCCTTGCTCTACTGCAGATACATAGATGATTGCTTTATCATCTGCGCGACTCAGGCAGATGTCGATAAGTGTTTCCAATTACTCAACGAGCAATCACAGTATATAAAGCTCACCAGGGAGAAGCCCAGCTGTGAATGGTTACCGTTTTTGAATGTACAGATCAACCTCTCTTCGGGTATATGTGCGACAAAATGGTACCGCAAGCCGAGCAATAAAAACATTCTCATCCACTTCCAGTCAGCACATCCGCTCCAAACAAAGAAAGCTGTAATCAAAAACATGTTTCGCACAGCATCCCAGGTTTGTAGTGGACACCAGGAAAGGATAGAATCACTGACGCTTGCCCGCAGCATAGCTTCTTCTAATGGGTATGTAAATCATGCAAGGGCGCCTAGGAGTAGAAGAGAACAGCATCGCGTGGTCAGTGAACATCCCGCCGCCGAAAAAGTAGCCTTCTGCATTCCCTTTATCTCCGATGAAGTAAGCACTGCATTGCGACAGTGTCTGAGGAGGGCAGGGCTGCAAAGTTCTGTTACGATTGTAGAATTGCCTCCGAGCAATTTGAAGAGATTACTAGTTCGCAATCGTATCTACGATCGCACCTGCACCACGCCACATTGCATTATCTGCCCTCAGGGCAGAGGCGGGGATTGCATGGCTACCGGGGTCATCTATCTGATCTCTTGCGAGGAGTGCGGCGAGGAATACATAGGCGAAACGGCGCGCCCGCTATGTGTTCGCATCAAAGAGCACATAGACGGCAAAGATAAATCACGCACATCCACCCCTCTGGGCACTCACCGGGTACAGAAACATGCGGGGACAAATTTCGGAGTTTCGGTAAAAATCTTGGCGCATGAATCTCAAATATCAGCGCGCAAGTGTTTAGAAGCTTTTTGGATCCACGCGAAAAATCCAAAAATGAATCGCAAGGAGGAATGCCTAGCGATCACGCGTGAACTCGCACCTTACCTAGGTCAGCTCTTCTGACCTAGTTTTTCGCTATAAATAGTGGTCCCTCAAGCGGTCATTATTCGTCTCGCTCTCGCGTCAAAAAGCTCTTCGGCTAACCCAAAAGGTGAGTGTTTGGCTAAATGCTACCAGCTGAGCTAGTGATCAAACCCAAGTCTTGACGCTTTGCTCACTCTGCTGCAGAGACGTTGTCGAATGGATTGCAGATCGTATTACCCATTTCAGGCTCTGAAGAAGGCGATCTGCCGAAACGTTAGCCTAATAAAGTTTTTAACAATCTCGGGTACGGCTCACAAGAAGACACAAAAGATATTTCTCATCCAAAAATCTCTATTCTTCCTGGTTTACCTGGAAAAATTGTAAAACAAACGAGTACAATTGCACAAAACAATAGTTAGCTGTACGAAAACCAAAAATTTGATCAAGAACATTGCCGCAATACGAGAGACAGCAAAGAAACACGAAGAAACAAGAGAAACGCTCATATGCAAGCGGTTGGCTGAGGGACGGTCTGCCGCGCTCTGCCGCGGGTGGCCTGCTACAATTCAAATTTGAATTCGACCACCGACCGACTACTGGGGTGAGGACGACTATATAATAATCGCCTCAAAGATGTAGATCATTACTTTGAAACGATTTGTGTTAGAGCAGGTGAGGCCGTGTAGAAGCATGTCATGTCAAGCTTATCCCATACAGGTTTATCAGCTTATCACAGCCGAGCTTGAATCAAGTTTCATTTTCATTTCAACGTAGACTTCGCTGCTACCTCTACCTGTACGCGCTGGGCTATTGCTGCTATATGACTACATACATTATTGCTGCTATATGACTACATACATTATGTTTAGAGCTCTAGCCATGGCCTACAAAAGTGGAATGTCAAAAAATACGCAGGCGAAAAGGCAAATGCAACAGGGATTTCTTCCCTTACATGAAGAGTCAGCGACGCAAATGAATACTATGGCAAATCATCAGACTCAAGTATGGTTTTCTAAATTTATTAGCCTAATTTGTTCTGCCAAGTGGTATTTTCCGAGGATGTCGTTTATAATAATGAAAGCTAGTACAATACAGTCTCGCAAGCGTTTGCATCACACCAGTGCTAAGTTTTATGAGAGCAATTTCCTGAGAGACAGAAAGATGTTTGATTAAATTTTACATTCATGGACGGCCTCTTTAGAGTGCATTCACGGTAGTTAAAAATACTGGGATCAACATGCATGAAAAACAAATCGAAAGATCAAGCAACGAGCTTTCGGAGTCAAGTGAACGTGCGTAGAAATTAAATTCACATTTTGACCTCAATATCTCCAAAAAGTAGGGTTGAATAATTTAGTGGGCTTGGAACGCGTCTATGAGGTTTTGGAACCTGTTGGATTAGTACATGGCGATACAGTGCAGCTACAAGAAATTCCCGGTTCGCAGTTATACCAGTGAAAACCTTAAACTTACTATATGTTTTAGAGCGCACTACTTTAAACCAGAATGGTTGGAGAGATGCCCCAGGTTTATTTCGAAACCTCATTTATATGTTATGAAAAGGTGTCACTAAATGCATCATTTGTAGGAGTAGAAGTGACTGAAGCTGGTTCTTTGCCTCATCATTACACGCATACTCTGCCATCCGATGCACTGGGTTTGAGTTTACGCATATAAAGCATAACATTACGATATTTGTTTCAGAAGCAGTGCGCGCGTGTTTACTGCGCGAAGTTGGAACAACAGATTTCGCGTCTTCCCTCTATGCAATCGTAGCCAGGGGAGCATCCTTGTCACAAGTATCACTACAAGTATTTCTGCTTCTTGACGCGGTAGGCAACGAAAACGTCTCCTTTAGGAAACGCTGCACCAATGTACGCGGCACATTCAGAGGTTTGATATGGAAGACATCTACAAATTAGTGCAAAGTGCCGAAAGGTCCCGTCTTGGGACACTGTATGACGTTATCGAAACTACACGACTGGTAGTAGAGAACGCGCTTAGCACTCGAATCCAGGCGAGTGCAATTTGTAAATAAGATGACCTAAATTATTGTGGCATAACCCAAACGAATAACATGGAGAACAAACACCTTTCTAATCTTACATCTTTTTTGTGACCAATTACTATTGCTGCACTTTCCAGGAGAATTTGCTCTTGGCAAAGATCAAAGAGCTTGAGGGGCAAGTAAACTCCCTCAAGCAGATGTGCAAGCGCAATGGCGCAGCGACTCACGAAACATCGGGAACAATTTTTGCCTACGAAAATCTGAAAGGACATCACGTGATCAAATATGATTCTCCATTTAAGGTATCTAGAACCAAGAATTAACTGAGTGACCACAATATACGCTCATCATAGGAAGCAGTCCTGAACGATATTCTAAGGGCATACGCCCCGACAAACAGAGTGAAACACAAAACATGCCTTGTCATCACGGAGTTCCTGCGCACAGTATTCAAACAGGTGTGGTGGTATAAATACATGATTGTTGACATGCCCTTGAAATGCTATAATGCTAAGCTGTTACCAAAGTTCCGCTCGTTTTCATTCCTTTTTTGAATTGTTATTGTTGGAGGAACAACCTTTTTTTCAACATTGCTCATAATATAAATTTCTCTATATTCATTTTGCATAACTATCTGTCGTCTTTTTTAATCTATGCAATCGCATGAAGCAAAAAGAACAAGAAAGCAAGATGAAATATTTTGAACCTAGAAAGTAAAAGTTTCTAAAAGATTTGCGCACCGGATCCATCCGACATTTGGAATTATGCTCATCGGACTTCCAACATATCCCGCAAACAAGATTTGATCGACTTGCCGGAATCTTTGATTATAACACTCACGGGTACAACCGGTTATGTGTGATTTCTTTCAAGAACGAATTTTTAAGACTTTGTGCTGGATGCACTGGATCTAGGCTGGCGAGACCTGCAAGGCTTAATGCTCTGAGAAGTTCTCGTGATAGGTGCGTTAGCGTTCTCAATGAGAGTTTTTCTGATGAATAGCATTTCAGCTGGTGGCTATCGTTAGGCGAAACTGACGACGAACGCGACAAAAAGTTCAACAGCCTCCTTGAGAAAAAGTCGTACTGGAGTACTCAAACTGGGCTTTGCATTTCCGAAGCGCTGTAAGCTTTTCTATAGTTTTTACCACTTTCGCCACTGAATCTGGGTTTTGCAGTGAAGACATAAGATACTATCGTCTTGATGAAGGAAAACTGGTTCCGTCAAAGGTATAGACTTATATAGAATCAGTCCTTTCGAACCACGTATTTAGTTTTTTCTTTCAGAAATTCAAATCAGTGCAGCGCGGATTCGGAAGAGAAGATAAAGCGCAAATGTCAAAACAGGAATGGAGAAGATTGGCACTTTACATGAGGGAACCACTCCGTCCGCAAGCTTCCTGCTGAGCCAACAAAATATTGCGCACATTTTTCATCTCTACTGGTATTATATCTACCGCCTCATATGATTGTTCTTCTCTTTCTGTTGCATTAAGTTTTATGCCTTCAACACCAAGTTGGTTCCATGATTGCTTGTATTATTTGAGTTACTGTATAATGTTACTGTATCCTGATCTCTGGAGCATAATCGTTGGCAGTTTCTCTCCTATCGCCATCACAAAGTTTTTACGCGTGTGTGTTCATTGCCAGATGAAGAGGATGATGATGAATCGCCTGATGTGACTAGCCAGATGTGTGATTGTTGCCAAATGAAAGACATAAATATTATTTCTTTTCCAATTTCATGTGTGTAACCACGTCGATGAGGAAGCTTGCAGAGGAAAGAGCAGAAAATATGCTTACGATAGCATACAGGCCGAATAAATAATCCTGCGGAAGTTCCCAGCACGAGGGATTAATCCTGCGGAAGTTCCCAGCACGAGGGAACTTCCCGAAAGCTTCAATTAGGGAACTTCCCGAAGACGATAGCGGTACTTCCGCAGGTGACCGTCGGGAAATTCCGCTAAGGCCCTCGGGAAGTTCCCGTGAATTGTCTGAGTTGAAACGCTTTTGAACCACAAAACTCAGTTTGCAATGTTCATGAAGTGCTGGACTTGATTTATCACACTGCTTACATGGTGATGCAGCTTTCGCAACAAATTTTAGATTTTCCCAAATGATATAGTCGCGATTTAGACCTGGAACACTTTATACAAAAATTTTGTGCGGACAGTAGATTGGACAAAATAATGAATCTCACTATTTTCCTCTCTGTTTTATGTCTAATCTTACCCAAAGAATGAAACTAGCTAAGATCTTGAAGTTCTAAGCGGTCTCCTGTTCTATCTCGTGATCTGAGTTGGCTATCATTGTGCAGCGTGCTCCACTCAACATTTAGTGGATGAGAACTGTGGCTAAATCATAATGCTAACTTCGAAATTCTTTCCTAACCATGCACACTAGTTTACTGTTGTACAGTCGACATAATGGCTGCATTACAGTATTTTCTGTCGCTTGAAAATCGAGTTTTATGGTGCAAAAGTGCGTCAACCCTATGGTGAGATTGGAGTCTGTCCGTCAAAATCAGCGAGTACGCAGAGTTTACGAAAACGCTCTTCACCTCATCTATCCAGAAGGGTCAATAAATTCCATGATTATCATTTGAAGAATAAGAGCTTGAAAACTCTTCAAACCAGTTGAAGAGTTCAAGCAGATTAACTTTTGGTGCTTTTGAAAGCAAAAAATGCAGTGATCGCTTCTATTTGAGTAGGATGACGAGCCGTAAGTTTTGCAAATGTTTCATATTTTGGGATGTAATTGTACAAAAAATTTGAGAATCAACGAATGCGATAGTGATCAGAAAAACTAGGTGGCTTTATAATTTTGTCCAGCTTTCAAAAAGGGCTTTTGTAAGGGTGGTTCCTTGGCTTTACTGTAGCCTGAGGCGAATATCGCCTGGTAGGGTGTGTTATTTAGAACACATTAGCTAATAAGCTTTATGAACAGGCGACCTGCACTCGTGGGTGCTGTGGTAGAATGCTAACAATAATAGGCGTGGCTATATAAGTTACTAGGCATCTGGGCAGTAAACAGACTTATATCACAGCAGGTCATACTTATGGCATGACCTTTACGGTACTTATTCAATGAGATACAGGCGAAGTGATATAGAATTAAGGAGGTGCCGACAATATCAGCACACTCCCGCCGGCAAAAGGAATAAGGAGCGAATATTGGAAATAATAGCAAAGTAGCAAATCTAAGCATGCAGCAACAACTGTCTATAAAGCGGTGGCGTTTGACTGGGTCTCGTAGAGGTCGTTGCTGCACTGCGACACGATTGAAGATGAGGCGCCGGCGACTTGAGGGACTGTCATGAAGTGGAGAGGAAGACGAGTGGGAACTAGAATGGTGTATACTTCTTTCTGTAGATTAGCATATACTTGTGAATACGTATGGAGAGATTCGCGACCACGCTTTTTGTCGTGCTTCATCTTGCGTCGAAATTGCAAACTCTGGGAATGTCGCCTTTTACTGACATCAGAGCGTGTGTTTGGCTGTGGCATTCCTGATGTAATGACCTGTGCTAAGGTCATTCTCCAGTCTGCGGTAGATTGTAGATTGCCATCAATGTTTTCAGCCTCCGTCTTGTATTTTGGCGTCGTTTCCACTGTCGCTTCCACTATTGACATTGATAAGGCTCAATTCTGATGGTGAATCATTGTTTTGATCATCAAGCGGAATATCAGCGCTCTGGCTTCGTGTGGCAAACGATCTTCTGCATGTCCTATTCAGCTCCAACTCGCTTAATGTTATACGGGCTTGCAGAAGATGAACAAACATGCGAGCGTCACTAATGGTTTTGAAAAATCTTGTCTCTTTTTCCAGTTTGTCCCATTCCTCCGCCATCACCTTCTTCGCAGCTTCGTGATTAACTTCCTCGAGCCTTTCCATCAATATTTCGTAGTCCATTTCCAGCAGTTCGATACTCTCTTTGACTTCCTCTGTGCATTTTGTAAGCATATCCAGATGTGAAGTGCCTAATTCTTGGCGCCCTTGATCGTCTGGAAAATTTTTGTTCTCACCGTAGCACGCGTACTTCTGCAGTAATTCCGCGAGTTCCTTGATAGACGTTCTGATTACAACTTTGAGGAAAGGTGAAATCCTCATTGTTCTTGTTGCTGTGCTGCTCTTGAGCAAGCACATATCGGTCTTATTTGGTCGATGCACCAAAATGTAAGGGTGGTACGTTGGCTTTACTGTAGCCTGAGGCGAGTAGCGCCTGGTAGGGTGTGTTATATAGAACACATTAGCTAATAAGCTTTATGAACAGGCGACCTGCACTCGTGGGTGCTGTGGTAGAATGCGCGCCTGCCACGCGGGCGGCCCGGGTTCGATTCCCGGCCGATGCACCAAAATGTAAGGGTGGTTTCTTGGCTTTATTGTGGCCTGAGGCGAATAGCGCCTGGTAAGGTGTGTTATATAGAACACGTTAGCTAATAAGCTTTATGAGCAGGCGACCTGCACTCGTGGGTGCTGTGGTAGAATGCTAACAATAATAGGCGTGGCTATATATATATATATATATATATAAGCTTATAAGTTAACTTATAAGTTACTAGGCATCTGGGCAGTAAACAGACTTATATCACAAGCAGGTCATACTTATGGCATGACCTTTACGGTACTTATTCAATGAGATACAGGCGAAGTGATATAGAATTAAGGAGGTGCCGCCAATATCGCCACAGCTTCTTCAAATTTTTTCGTTTTTCTCCGTTCAAACTCAACAAGACTTTAAGCCGTTTTGAGCGATCATGGTAGGTTGACATGCGCACAATAGAGCAAAGTTTCACGCTGATCCATTGACAAGAGCGAAAATTACGACGATTTCTAGAATGGCTTTATGATTATGTCCAGCACTGTATTGTATTCGGAATCCCCATGCTCGATTACCCACCTGTGCAAACTCCCAGCCCCGTAGCTCAAACTTTGCAAAAAAATCGATAAAATCGATAAAAGTAATCGATAATCCTGAGAACTAATATTGTATTCGGAATCCCCATGCTCGATTACCCCCCTGTGCCAACTCCCAGCCCCGTAGGTGAACTCTGCAAAAAAATCGATAAAAATCGATATCGATCGAAAAGTAGCCCTATGACACCCGCCGGGGCCCGAAGTGTATGTGTGCCAAGTTTGGTCCGGATCGGTTCAGAAATGGAATTTTCTATTCGGAACATACAGTGACCGCCAAAAAGTTGCGGAAAAGCCGCCTTCCTTTTTTCATCGCTCATTTTCCGTTGGAAAACAAAGATGAAAAAATGTTTGGATTGCATGGGGTGATAGAGCTCTTCAAGAGCTACAATCCACATATTGCGCTTTCTGGAAAAAGTTTATTATATAACTTTTAAAAATTTTTTCCTAAAAAAAGTCCGGAAATGGCCGCGTCACAATGTCGTCACAATAATTCTTCGAACGCAAAAATTTTCTTTTGAGTCCTATCTTGAAGCGGAAACACAAGTTATCCGGACAGGTAAACATACTATTATACAGAGCTCGTCAAGAACTACACACTGGTTATGGTTGCTTCCCCAAAAAACGAAAGCTTGAGTTTT